TAGCCTTGGGCAACCCCCCTCCCACCCCAGCCCGCGGCAGTCTCACCTTCGGGGCAGGGAAGTTGGTGATGGTGACCTTGAGGGGCTCCAGGACAGCCATGGCGCGGGGGGCCTGCTCATTCAGCACCTCCCGCGCACACGCCTCCAGCAGATGTGGCTCCATCGTCGCCTGGGCCACCGTCACACCGACCTGCGGGACAGCCTGCTGTCACCACGCCAGCCAGGGGACACATCCACCTGCCCCGTCCCATCCTGTCCCCAGCACCTACCCGGGCACAGAAGTTGTTGATGGCCTCGGGGGGGAAGCCTCGCCGGCGCAGGGCTGTCAGCGTGAAGAGCCGTGGGTCATCCCAGTCCCTGAGAAAACACCAGCGTGACAGCCAGGCGTGCCCCGGGCAAGACCCACTCTAGCTGCTGGCCCCGCTCCTACCTCACGGCCCCCGTCTCCACCAGCCGGATGATCTTCCTCTTGGAGACGACAGTGTAGAGCAGGTTCAGGCGCCCGTACTCCCACTGCACAGGGCAGTAGACGTCCAGCGTGTTGCACAGCCAGAAGTAGGAGGAGCGCCTGCAAGGGAGGCACAGGCACAGGCACAGCCTGGCTCAGCCTCACGCCCGCCTACAGCCCCACGGACACACTGTCCCCCAGCACTTGGGCAGCCGCCGGGACGCGGCCAGCTGCTCCCCCACAGAGCTGCCCTGCCAAGGTTCAGATCCGCCCTGGGCCATGCCGTGCATGGCGCTCACCTGGCCTGGAACTCCTTGGTGCAGAGGGAGTGCGTGATGTGCTCGATGGAGTCGCAGAGGCAGTGTGTGTAGTCATACGTGGGGTAGATGCACCTGCAAGGCAGATGCAGTCAGCCCTGGGGCAGAGCCCGGTGCTGCTCCCCTCCCGAGTAGAAAACCCAAACCCCCCCCCCCCATGTGTGCCAGGACGCCGCAGGCCCTCCCTACCACTTGTCCCCAGTGCGGTGGTGCGGAGTGAACTTGACACGGTAGGCGACAGGGTCCATCTTCCCGTCCTCCATCACCAGCTTCATCCGCAGCGTGGCCTCCCCCTCCCCAAACTTGCCCTTTCGCATGTCCTGTGGAACAGGGGGAAGCTGTTGGCTGAGCCACGGACCCAGACCCCACGGGCACGCAGCGCCTGCCCCCAGCCAGGAGTACCTCAAAGAGGAGGAGAGACTGCGCCCTGCCAAGGTTCAGATCCGCCCTGGGCCATGCCGTGCATGGCGCTCACCTGGCCTGGAACTCCTTGGTGCAGAGGGAGTGCGTGATGTGCTCGATGGAGTCGCAGAGGCAGTGTGTGTAGTCATACGTGGGGTAGATGCACCTGCAAGGCAGATGCAGTCAGCCCTGGGGCAGAGCCCGGTGCTGCTCCCCTCCCGAGACCTCCCCGCTCCCAGAAGACGCAAACACCCCCCCCCCATGTGTGCCAGGACGCCGCAGGCCCTCCCTACCCCTTGTCCC